TGTGGGGGGTGTGAGTTGATGAAATGCAGAGACTTGGACTCTGCTCACAGATATATGAAATTTTGCATGAAACATGTGACCTGTGTATTGGTCTAGGATTGAAAAAATCCTGTTGTGTGCCAGGCTCTCTCACCAAATCCCTGTGTGAGCTTCAGGAAGTTCTGAGCATCCAGGTCTTTGAGGTGCCCGTTGAAAGGTCTTAGATAAAAAAGGTGCTTCCTTTTAGCTTTAGATACTTATGGTTTTAGAATTGTCTTTTTTAATCTTTATAAAATCATTATTATTGTTTCCTTCCACCCAGAGTCATTTTACACATTTATTCCTAATTGTCTCTCAATGAAAAAAAAAATTTTTTTTTTTTTTTTTGAGACAGAGTCTCACTCTGTTACCCAGGCTGGACTGCCGTGGCCCAATCTTGGCTCACTGCAACCTCTACCTCCCAGGTTCAAGCAGTTCTCATGCCTCAGCCTCCCTAGTAGATGGGACTACAGGCGCATGCCACCATGCCTGGTTAATTTTGTTTGTATTTTTTAGTAGAGACGGGGTTTCACCATGTTTCCCAAGCTGGTCTCAAACTCCTAAGCTCAGGCAATCTACCCGCCTCTGCCTCCCAAAGTGCTAAGATTACAGGCATGAGCCACCGTGCCTGCCCTCCACCCCTATGAAAAACCATAGATACACTGGGTGCATCTGTTGATACAGTCTATGTATATCTGTGCTTTATACATAAAAAGAGATTGTTTTTCACCGTTTCCCCAAAAGAACCAATTTTCACCCCCGTGGGGACAGGATAAGCTCTTTTGAGAATTCATGTTAGAGGACCAAGGCCTCTGTCTTTTCCTCTGACTTCTGGAGCTCAGCAAAATAAAAGGCAGTTTGTAGCCTGTGCTTTAAAAGACAAGACTCACTGAGGAATAATATAAATAAACAAACAAAGTAAAGAAGAACTAACTTCTTTGGAATGAAGTCACTGCAGCCTTTCTATGACGTTGTTTTCAGAATTCAGCATCTAAACTCTCCTGGCCAGCATTACCTTCTTTTTCTTGACAGAGCTCAATCTATGTATTCATACTCCATGCACAGAAACTTTGTGGCTTGAGTACAGAAACTAACGAGAGTGTGAAGGTTAATTTTATGTGTGACCCTGACTGTGCCACGGGGTGCCCAGATATACAGCTAGAATGCCTGTGAAGGCATTTCTGGATGACGTTAGCATTGGCATTGGTAAACTGAGTTAATTAGATAAAGCCCTCCCCATGGTGGATGGGCTTTATCCAATCAGTTGGAGGCCTGAATAGGACAAAAAGGAAGGAAACAAATTCTCTCTGTCTCCTGACTGTTTTGGAACTGGGATATCTGTCTTCTCCTGTGCCTGAACTGGAACTTACACCACCAGCTCTCCTGGGTCTCTAGCTTCCCAGTGGCAGATGGTAGAACTTCTCTACCTCCATAATCCCATATACCAATTCTTTATTGTAAATCTCCCACAATAAATATAGGTAGGTAGGTAGGTAGGTAGATAGGTAGGTAGATAGGTAGGTAGGTAGGTAGGTAGGTAGAGAGGTAGGTAGATAGGTAGGTAGGTAGGTAGGTAGATAGGTAGGTAGGTAAGTAGGTAGGTAGGTAGGTAGGTAGATAGGTATTTAGGTAGGTAGGTAGGTAGGTAGGTAGAGAGGTAGGTAGATAGGTAGGGAGGTAGGTAGATAGGTAGGTAGGTAGGTAGGTAGGTAGGTAGGTAGATAGGTAGGTAGGCAGGTAGGTAGAGAGGTAGGTAGGTAGGTAGATAGGTAGGTAGGTAGGTAGGTATATAGGTAGGTAGGTAGGTAGGTAGATAGGTAGGTAGATAGGTAGGTAGGTAGGTAGGTAAGTAGGTAGGTAGATAGGTAGGTAGGTAGGTAATAGGTAAGTAGGTAGGTAGGTAGATAGGTAGGTAGGTAGGTAAGTAGGTAGGTAGGTAGATAGGTAGGTAGGTAGGTAGGTAGGTAATAGGTAAGTAGGTAGGTAGATAGATAGGTAGGTAGGTAGGTAGGTAGATAGATAGATAGATAGATAGATGATAGACAGATGGCTGGGTGGGTGGGTGGGTGGTGGATGGACGGACGGACAGATAGATGGGCGGGCAGATGGAAGGGCAGGCAGAGAGACAGGTAAATAGATAGAAAGATAGAGAGATAGAGACAGAGACAGAGAGATAGATAGATATATGTAGCTCATTGGTTCTGTTTTCTGCAGAACCTTGGCTAATACAGAGACCTTGGGGCAGAGGATAGAGAGCTTGGCAGAACATCATCATGTGGGCTTGTAAGTGACTGTTGTAGCAGAAATATATGTTTCCCCTCCCAAATCTCCTCCAGTCCCTTTTAATAGCTCTGTGCGTACCTCCGCCAGCTTCTGTGTGCTTTGCTGCTAATGGCTGGCATGTGCAACCTTCTTCAGAGGATTGCTCTTGGTCTGTTGGAACCACCTCACCTATCCTGAGAACTGAGCTGGCACCCTAGGGGTACCCCATAGCAGTTAATCTACTGGTGGGGATCACAAGTCCCTAGTTTCCTTGTCATGAGGCAGAACAAACTCTGACATGCAATTTATGCTCCACCATTCCCTCGGGGTCAGGCTGAGGGTAAAACATGGCCTGAAGTCACATTCTTCCTTACCTCCTCTTTCTCTAGCCAGCTCTCTTGAAAGCACTTTCCTTATCAGTCATGTGCACAAGAATCTTTCCTACCTACCCTATAGGAAGGTACCAGTTTCATATAGTCAAGAGCAGAAGGAACTTTCCTCTGGATATCACTAAAGGGTAGCCTAACAATAGGCTATGCAAATATACCATCAGGATGCTCAATTTATATTTGTTTTGTGCTATGAAATACACACACCTCTGTCTAAAAATTGTTTTGTGGACTCGATGGTTTTGTGTTCTTACCGGTTTTTAAAGTCATTGTGTGAAGTAAGGTAGTTTCTAACAGTCTCAGGACTTAAAATATGTTGGTCTTCCTTGAATTGTAAATATGTTTTTAAAATTTCGTTTTCCATCACATGAATTTACTTATCACCTCTCCAGGATCTGCTTCTGGAAGAAGTTGAGCAATCACAATCATAGTAAAGACTTGGATTTTCTTCTATGAAAATTGGAAAACCATTGAGTATTTTTTTTTCTGCTTTTTTGAGATGGAGTCTCACTCTATCACCTAGGCTGGAGTGCATTGGTGCAATAATCTCAGTTCACTGCAACCTCCACCTCCTGGGATTAAGCCATTCTCCTGCCTCAGGCTCCCGAGTAGCTGGGACGACAGGCTCCTGCCACCATGCCCGGCTAATTTTTGTATTTTTAGTAGAGATGAGGTTTCACCGTATTGGCCAGGCTGGCCTTGAACTCCTGACCTCGTGATTCGCCCGCCTCAGCCTCCCCAAGTGCTGAGATTACAGGCATGAGCCACCGTGCCTGGCCCACTGAGTGTTTTTTTAATCCAAAGGATAAAATGCTTATACTGGAAAACTCCGCTTCTTAGTACTGTCAATAGCATCACTGTTCTTTGCTGAGCTAGTCTTCCTCCTCTCTGGAGTGAGTGGAAAGACCCCTGGAATTTTCCCAGTCCCCAGCAGCCAACTGAGTTCTTGCATACTTGGATTCATATGTATCCATGATTTTAAATGTCCTACTCCTAGACCTCCATCTAGTCTACTTCATGCATGCAACAAATATTGATTGCCTACTGTCCATTAAGCACTGCTTCCTATCAATTTAGTCTTTTGACTTCTTGAAGTCCCAAGCTCCCTACTGTCAGATATCGCCCCTAGATCTAGGCCACGCATGATTCTTTCATACTTGTATGTGACTATGTATACTAACAGCATGTAAAACAGAGTTTTGACAAAGAGTTCCCATAGACACCCACGGTGAACCTTGTAGGTGCATCAAGGAGATTTTACATCACTTTCACACTTTGTGATTGGTTGTCCCATAGGAAGGTACCAGTTTCACATAATCAGTACCAGAAAGAACTTGTCTCTGGAAATCACCAGAGGGTAGCCTAACAATAGACTATGCAAATATATCATCAGGATGCTCAATTTATGTTTGTATTATACTGTCAGATAAACAACACTTCTGTCTAAAAATTGTTTTGTGGACTCCATGAGGGTTTTTTGTGTTCTTAGTGATTTTCAAAGTCATTGTGTGAAATAAGGTAGTTTCTTTACTTTTTTTTTTTTTGAGGCGGAGCCTCACACTGTATCCCAGGCTGTAGTTCAGTGATACAATCTCTGCCTTCTGGGTTTAAGCAATTCTCCTGCCTCAGCCTCCTGAGTAGCTGGGACTACAGGTGTGCACCAGCATGCCCAGCTTATTTATTTATTTATTTTTTGTATTTTTAGTAGAGACGGGGTTTCACCATGTTGGCCAGGATGGTCTCCATCTACTGAACTTGTGATCTGCCTGCCGCGGCCTCCAAAAGTGCTAGGATTACAGGCATGAGCCACCATGCCTGGCCCCCCCCTTTTTTTTTTTTTTTTTTTTTTTTTTTTAGATAAAGTCTTGCTCTGTCGCCAGGCTGGAGTGCAGTGGTGCAATCTCTGCCTACCGGTTTCAAGCGATTCCCCTGCCTCAGCCTGCGAGCTTGGACTACAGGTGCATGCCAGCACACCCGACTAGTTTTTTGTATTTTAGTAGAGACACGGTTTCACCATGTTGGCCAGGATGGTCTCCATTTCTTGACCTTGTGATCTGCACCCCTCAATCTCCCAAAGTGTTGGGATTACAGGCGTGAGCCACCATGCCCAGCCGAAATAAGGTAGTTTCTAACTGTCCCGGGACTTAAAATATTTTGGCCTTCCATGAATTATAAATATGTTTTTAAAATTTCATGTTCCATCTCATGAATTTACTTATCCTGAAATGATGCAATAGTGACCCATAATAAATATTTCCTCACCAAACATTAGCTCGTTCCCATTCAACCCTGATTTATCTTGGCGTATCACCCTCCTGCATAATGAGTTAGAAATGTGCAGATTGCATCTTAGTCATTGCCCTTGTGCCTTACTGCTGGTAGCTTCTTGTTTTTCAGGGAAGAGCAAAGCATTAGAATGACGAGCCATTCTGACAGGAGTTGACAAATATCTATCAGGACCGTGGGGAGAGTGAAATCTTTTTGACAACTCTATTTTTCTTTATCTCCAGGTTTTTAGGGTGCAATCTTTCCTTCAATAGGATCAAATTCTCCCCTCCGTTTCTCGCTCTACATGAGAGAAAAGTAAAAACATGGATGATTTGTAAACATCTTTTAAGATACGACTTTTTTTTAAACAAGTCTTTGCAGTACACAGTCTAAGAAAGAAAAATCCTCTGTTAGCTTTCATAATTGTGAAAAGCTGTCTATGCCTACAAACAAGGTGGCCCCAAATATAGGGTGATCATCATTTTCTCGAAGATTCTTCACTCTTCAAACACTTTTAGCCAAAGTACATTTTTACAGTTGTGAGATATTGATAACATTGCTTCATATCTAGTGATAATAGCAAGTTTGTGTTTAGTTACACATACATTTTATACAGAATTGTAGTTTAGATATAAGGCTTCTTTTCTTCTATTTCAGTAAATCATTCCAATTTTTCCATGCATTTTCTATATGATTTTCTCTGGCATGACAGGGGACACTTTTGAGTCATTTTCCTGACTCAAAACCAGGAAACTGACGTTGGTACAATCCCTCCCACAATGTTCCTGAGCATGCTAATTTCACTTTCATCCAAAGCACTTCAGATCTAGCAATTTTTGAGTTCACTGGAAATTGTATTCCAACCCACAAGCACTAATATGCACAACTTTAGGACACCTTTTCTTTTATTGTAAAACATAACAAAATAGCTGGGAATGGTGGTTCACGCCTGTAATCCCAGCACTTTGGGGAGGTGAGGCGGGCAGATCATTTGAGGTCCGGAGTTCAAGACCAGCCTGGCCAACATGGTGAAACTCCATCTCTACTACAAATGCAAAAATTAGCTGGGCATGGTGGCATATACCTGTAGTCCCAGCTACTTGGAGACTGAGGCACAAGAATTGCTTGAACCTGGGAGGCAGAGGTTGCAGTGAGCCCAGATCACACCACTGGGCTCCAGCCTGGGCAACAGAGTGAGACTGTGTCTCAAATAACAACAACAACAACAACAACCAACAAAATACAGAGATACCCACAAAATATGTGAATGGCTCAATGGATAATTACAAAACAAACAGATTTGTCATAACCACCCAGACAAAGAAATAGCATATTTCCAGGTCCTCAAAAGATCAAAGCTCATTCTTTTCCCTGGAGATAACACTATCTTAACTTCTGTGATAAGAAAAGCATGAACAGCTTTTTAAAAAAAGTCTGTTCTGTGTATATCTGTTTGTTGACTACACAATACAAGCTCTTAGTCTGTTTCACTTTCAAGTATCTTTACAGGTTTTATTTATAATGATAACCAACGCTTGCCGTGGTAAGGCCATGCTCCCAGGAATAATTACTAAATGTGTGTTAAATTTATCTGCTTCCTTGTTTACTGATTCTGTCATGGGACCTCTATAAACATCCAAAGCTAGCATTGATTGAGGCCGTTTCAGAATAATGTGTTTTCTCCCAGAAGTACCTTGTTCTTTAAAGTAAAGTAATTGGTAAATGTGTCCCATAATTTGACAGACTATAAAAGGAATATGTAGAAGGTGACTCACAGTTCTCTGAAGTCTAATTTTGAGCCAGTATCTTCTACCATATGCAGACCTATGTGGCGTTTCTTTTTTGATTTGAATTTTCTTTAATAGTAAAGCATCCCAAATATGTAAATAAAAAGAATATAGCATGCACCCATGTTCTCGACAATATCCAGATGTCACACATGATGTTATTACACAATAATATAATTATGAAAACAAATAGAAAAAAACAACTTCAAAGGAGTGGTTACCTTTCTGATATTTTGTAGGTATTAGCTTCAATTGCACCATGTAAATTATTCTGATATGTACCTTTTCATTACTCAATATAATGTGTTTGATACTTAGCCATATCGTTCCATGAAGATCTAGTTCCTTCTTCTTAAATGCTATAAAATCATCTATTGTAGAAATATAATTTACTTATTCTTTTCCCTACTGGTGGACGTTTAGATCACTTTGGTTCCCACATGAAAATTTTCAAGTATACAGACATATGTAAAGAGTTTGTGTGTTGAATAACCATAATCCCTCTACCCAGATTCTTTAACATTTTGCTGTATTTGTCTTATCACTCCGTATATCTCCATCCTTTAATCCATTCATCCATCCATCCATCTTATTTTTGCTGCTTTGCAAAATAAGTTGCTATGTTTTACTATTAAATATGTTAGAGATGGAAAACAAAATAATGATTCCCAGGAATTAGGAGATATTTGGAATTAGGGAGATGGTTGAGACTGTACAGGCATGCGTGAGTGAAATCTCTGCGGTGATGGAATAGCTCCCCGTCTTGATTTTAAATAATTGTGGTGGTGGTTTCATGAATCTAAATATGTGAGAAAATGACATAAAATTATAGACATGCACATTGTGCCAATATTAGTTTCCTGGTTCTCACATTGGTTCAAAGTTGTGGAAGGTTTAACCATTGCTGGGTGATTGCTATACAAGACCTCTTTGTACTATATTTGCAACTTCTTGGGAACCTATAATTAATTCAAAATAAAAAAATTAAAACAATAGCAAGAATAATGTGATCATTTGAAGCTCTTGGACTTGTTAAGGTAGGGAAGTTGGGATCAGGAAGTATGCAAGTATAAATCAATGGGTCAAAAAGCCAACTGTGGAAAAGCAGAGAAATGGAATAAATCTGAGATCTTGAGATCATTATTGAGTCAGGAAATAAAAACTCTTCTAGACCTCTTATGGGGAGTAATACATTTTTCTCTGTGTCTAGGCAACAGCAGTTTTACTGAAATAAGCATGAAAGAAATCAATATTTTAGCTTCTTAGAGCAAAACTTTTAAAAGAAAAACAAATTTTGCAATGATAGCATTATATATATCTTTGTGTTTAGATATGAGTTCTTCTAGAAATATATCTAGGAATCAAATTGCTAGATCCAGAGGGTGAGCATCTTCTAATTTACTACATATTTTATGAAAATGAAGAGGCCATCTAGTGTAAATTGCACCCAAAACGTTATTTAAAATATTAAGAAAGTAGCAATTGTGAGATGCATTTAGATGTAGGCAATGTTAAAAGGTGGCAGTGGGGGTCAGTACATGTGGAGGTGGAGGAAGAACATCTTAGAACCAGTGTAACAAAGCAGATGACTCCACATTCCTTTACAAAATGATTCTCTAAATTGTTATTCCCACCAGCTGTATTAAAATATGAATTTTCCACATCCTTACGAAGAAACTTTCATAATTAAATGGCTATGAGATGATTTTTTAAATTGCATTTCCTTAAGCACCTGTTCAAAACGTTTGTGGAAGATTTGCGTTTCTTCAGGCGTCATTTGCTATTCACAACCTTTGCTCATCTTTCTGCTCAGTTTTGTCTTTTTCTTACTGACTTTGGGAATTTTTTGTATATTTAGTTCTGTGCATTGCAAACATCATCCTTATTCTGGATTGTTTTCGTGGTTATTTTTTACATTGTTCTAATTGTCTCTCCCAACACCAGATCGACCCTCTCTTATTTAAGTTTTATAACCAGTCTTAACATCTTACAGGTGTCTCATCTTTATTCTTCTTATTCATAATTGTTTTGGCTATTCTTGGCTTCAACGTGCCTTTGTGAATTTTAGGGTCTGCTTGTCAAGTGTTATGAAAAATGATCTGCTTGAATTTTGATTGAAGCATTCGTTGTATAGATCAGTCTGGAACATTTTCATCTTTATCATAGTGCATCTTTTCATGATCCTGGTGTTCCTCTCCAAATGATCTTCATCTCTACCCTTTAATTAAATGTTATATTTGTCCCCATCACAACAGGTCTTTCAATATATTTATTCTGTAGAAGCTTGTTTTCTGTTTGTTGTTATGAATAAGACATTTAAAATGATGTTTTCTAACTCATTGTTGACAGTGTTCAAATATGCTAATTTTATTTGACTTTGTATTTATAATTTTTTAAGAAAAAATGATAGTTTGCCCTCGATAGTCTTGATTTTCATATCTAGACAGTCATATCAAGTGCAAATTTGCCTCAGCTGTTAAGAATTTCCCCTGCTATTCCTAGTTTGGTAACATTTTTCTTTTAACACATGAATGTGAAATTTTACTGAATGTTTTTTCTGCCTACATGAAGATGGTTATTTTTCAACTTGAATCTGGTACATAATAACTTACATTAATAGATTTTCTAATGTTATGCTGTCTTTACGTTCCTGGAACAAACTCTATTTGGTTATGGTTTCTGTTTCTTTTTATACTGTTAGATTTTTGTTGACCAATATTTTGTTTAAAACTTTTACACATATATCTATAAATGAGATGGACGTAACTTTTCTTGCCTGTCTTTGATATAAAGGTTATATTTTATTTTAAAATCAACTGCACCATTCTTCTTTTTCTGTTCTTTCAAAACGTTTTATAAGAAATAGGATTATTTGTTCCCACTGCCTCGCAGCACGGGGTTTCGTGGGCCCCGTTCCGGTGCCCAGCTGGCCTGGCCCAGATCTGAAGTGGCTGCATGGCCTGGGCCTGGCGCTGGGGGCAGGCACCGGGGCCTGGTCAGACATGGGCCAGAAGCACAAAAGTCAGACAAACACCTCTACGAGGAGTGTGTAGAGAAGGCTTTGAAGCTGGTCCTGAAAGTAGGAGGAAACGAAGTCACTGAACTCTCCACGGGCAGCTCAGGGCATGACTCCAGCCTCTTCAAAGATAAGAACGATCATGACAAACACAAGTAGAAAAAGAGAAAGAAAGGAGAGAAGCAGGTTGCAAGGGAAGAAAAAGGGAGAAAATGCAGAAGTGCTAAGGAGGATAAAAAGAAGCAACATCGAGACCGTGTGGAGAATGATGCAGAAAAGGACCTGCAGTGTCATGGCCCTGTGAGATTAGGCTTGCCCCCTGAGAAGCCCCTCACAAGCTCTTTAGCGAAACTTTGAATCAATTGCCTCTCTTTGATGAGACAATTGCAGAGAAAAGATCCAGGTGCTTTCTTTTCATTTCCTGTGACTGATTGTGTTTCTCCTGGCTGCTCCATGATCATTAAACACCCAATGGATTTCAGTACCATGCAAGGAAAGATCAAGACCAACGACTACCAGTCCACAGAAGAACTAAAGGATAACTTCAAACTAATGTGCACTAATGCCATGATTTACAACAAACCAGAGACCATTTATTATAAAGCTGCAAAGAAGCTGTCGCACTCAGGGATGAAAATTCTTAGTCAGGAAAGAATGCAGAGCCTGAAGCAGAGCATAGATTTCATGGCTGACTTGCAGAAAGATAGAATAGACACCTCGCAGAGTAGAGAGGACGGAGGCTGCTGGGCAAGAGAGAGAGAGGACTCTGGAGATGCCAAAACACAAGGCCTCAAGAGTCCCAACAAAGAAAATGAAAGACAAAGATACACTTGAAGAGGCCGGGCGCGGTGGCTCAAGCCTGTAATCCCAGCACTTTGGGAGGCCGAGGCGGGTGGATCACGAGGTCAAGAGATCGAGACCATCCTGGTCAACATGGTGAAACCCCGTCTCTACTAAAAATACAAAAAAATCAGCTGGGCATGGTGGTGCGTGCCTGTAATCCCAGCTACTCAGGAGGCTGAGGCAGGAGAATTGCCTGAACCCAGGAGGCGGAGGATGCGGTGAGCCGAGATCGCGCCATTGCACTCCAGCCTGGGTAACATGAGTGAAACTCCGTCTCAAAAAAAAAAAAAATACACTTGAAGATAAGTTTAAAAGCAGTAATTTAGTGAGAGAGCAGGAGCGGCTTGACCGCATCGTGAGGGAATCTGGAAGAAAGCTGACCAGGCAGCTTGTGAACAGTCAGTACGAATTTGAAAGAACAAAACCAGATGGAACAAGGACGTTGGGACTTCTCCATCCTGTGGATCCCATTGTAGGAGAGCCAGGCTACTGCCCTGTGAGCCCGGGAATGACAACTGGAAGACTTCAGTCTGGAGTGAATACTTTGCAGGGGTTCAAAGAGGATAAAAGGCACAAAGTCACTCCAGTGTTACATTTGAATTACCAGCCCTGTGGTTCTTCTGCAATGCAAATATCAGCAAGGATGACTCTGATTTAATCTATTCAACCTGTGGGGAAGACTCTGATCTTCCAAGCAATTTCAGCATTCGTGAGTTTTTGGCCACGTGCCAGGATTGTCCATCTGTCATGGCAGATATTTTGCTGGATGTTTTAACAAAAGGAGGGCATTCCAGGACTCTACAAGAGTTGGAGATGTCATCGCCTGAAGGTGAAGGCCGTACTAGGACACTTGACACAGCAAAAGAAATGGAGATTACAGAAATAGAGCCAGCAGGAGTTTGGACTCTGAGACAGGCTCATAGCACTGAAAGCAGTAGCAAACTTTGGCATTCCAGTTGAAGTTTTTGACTTTGAAGAAGGTAAAGTATTCCAGAAGAAACTTGAGACCACCAGATTGCTCAGGGAGCTTCAGGAAGCCTAGAATGAACGTCTGAGCACCAGACCCCCTCCCAACATGATCTGTCTCTTGGGTCCCTCGTATAGAGAAATGCCTCTTGCCGAATAAGTGACCAATAATCTTGAAGAACTTGTACAGCAAGTAACTCCAGGTGATATCGTAAGCATGTATGCAGTTCAGAAAGCAATGGGGATTTCCATTCCTTCGCCCGTCGTGGAAAACAACTTTGTGGATTTGACAGAAGATACTGAAGAACCTAAAATGATGGATGTTGCTGAGTGTGGAGCTGGTGGGAGTTGAGGCCGCCTGGTATTTGATTATACATTATATACATACTTTTTCATTCTTAACTTAGAAATACTTTTCAGAAGATACTAAATATTTATAAATTGTGTTTTTAATTTAACATTGGAACAGTGAGTTTTAAAGTTCCATAGGTTGGACTTGTATTAGGTAATAAAGTTGGACCTGGGGAAAAAAAAAGAGATAGGATTATTTATTTCTTAAAAATTTATAGATTTTGCCAAAAACTACCATATGCCCCGGATAATTGTTTTGTCCTCTGATTCTTCCTGGTTATTTACATTCCATTAAACTCTGCTCATTTAAGAAACTCTAATTTTTGTCAATTTACTGTTTATTTTTTAATATTTCAAGGTAAATGTTTAAATCATAGTCTGTCTTTATTCCTGGCTAATATATGTTCTTAAGGTTATGCATTTCCCTTCAACTACTTTATAAATAGAATATCATAAGCGTTGACATTCATTCATTCATTCATTATGCCCCAACTCAAACAAGGCTAGATCTATGCATAGGCTGTGGGTGGCGTAATGAACATAGCTCCTCAACTTCATGAAGCTTGCATTCATATAAGAAAAGGCAAACGAAATGCACAAATAAATTATGTCAGAGAGTATGTAAATTATTCAGAAGCATGTTTTTTAAAACTTCAAATATACAGTGAGTTTTTCACACAGCTGTCAAATTGTTTAGGGGTTGTCTTAATTTTGTGCTGCTAGAACAGAATACCTGAGACTGTATAGTTCATCAAGAACAGAAATTTATTTCTCACAGTTCTGGAGGCTGGGAAGTCCAAGATCAAGGTGCTGGCAAGTTTGGCGTCTGGTCTTTCTGCTCAAGATAACAAAATCCTTCATTCCCTGGAGGGGGAACATACTGTCCCTCACGTGGCAGAAGAGTAGAAGAGCACAGAGGCAAAGGGAGCTGAACTTGCTCTTTCATTATGGCGTTGATCCACTCATCAGGGCTCTGCCGTCATGACTTAATAACCTCCTAAAAGCCTCACCTCCCAACATGATCACAATGGGGATTACATTTCAACCTATAAATTTTATAGGGAACCCAAACATTCAAACCATAGGAGGGGTTTTACTTTTATTTTCCTATTTGGTTTTCGAATGTGGTCTAAATGCTACTGATACTTGCTTTATGGCCAATATATGGTCAAATTGTGTGAATATTCCATAGGGGATGGAAAAAGGTAAATGCTCTAACTCTTGGGTACAGGTTTGTTAGCATTTTGCCATATTCCATTTATTTCTGCTTCTCCTCTAACAGATGTGAGGTAAACCCATACCCTGACTCTGTGGGATGCCTTCAAAAACTTTATTGCTGTATTACTTTTCAAGACAGAGTAAACAGCATATTGAGCTAGACCAGGAGAGAAAATACTGGGTACATGTGGCACTACGTCCTTGCCTTCATCTGTGGTAGACATTATTAATTAATTATGGAGATTCACCCAGCCGTCTTGGCAATCATCAGTCAATCAGAGTTGGCGTGTGTAATAAAACTTGTTGACAGAAGTGTCTGCTTTTGGGGAAGACCACTTACTAGTTTGCCCTGGGAATCTTGACTTTTTCTGAAAACTTCTGGTAGGTATATCAGAAAAAGTGTAGATTTTCTTATGCAAGAGTTAGCATTTTAAAAAGTGAATAGATGTCCGAACATATCACCCATGGCAGACATGACTGAACTTTTTCACCATATTTCCTCATCCAGTCTGAACTCAGCCTCAGAACTGTCTCACCACAGCGTGCCAGACAATACTACCAATTGATTTGACTTGACACGTGAGATGAAACCTTTGATCATCCCCGAATTACTGGGCTTTGATTTGAATAATATGCTCCTTCTTCATCTGTGCAACTTTCATCCTTAAAATCAATGGTGACCAATTTCCTCTGAAGTAAAAATGGGGATGTAGTCTTATAGAATATTCAAAATCTTGAAGAATTTATTCCTTTTTTCCTTAAGTAATATTCCAGAAAGGGATATTAAGTTACCGTGCTGGAAAGGAAATCTCAGTCATGTACTAGAAACAACCAAAGACAGCAGAGTCTAATTTCCAAGGATGAGGTTCAAAAAAAGAACAAAATGCAATTCAGCACAGAAGAGAAAGCACATGCTTTCAGTTCTCAGTGGTGAGGGTGGTAATCTGAAACAGATATTAAAGGGCATACGACATCTGGAAATCAGAGTTTCTAAGACTAAGTTAGGAGCACACCAATTTGCTGGGGCTGAGTTAGGGAAAGAAAAAAAAACTTTCTCCAGAGGAAGAAGCTGAAGGACAACATGGATATAAAGAAGACTTGCTTTACGGCTTAGGAACAGGGATCTCTCTGACAGGCTGGCTGAGCACGGGCACAGGGTTAACCTTTTCCTTTTAGACAGTTGTCACATCAGAACATCCTGGCTTGGCTTCTAGAACTTCGGTAATAAAAGACAGAAGGAAGGGTGAAGGGAACACTGGACTCATTTGGTAAGAGGAAGTGAAGGCGTGCAGCATCAATGCTCTCCTTGACCAAGTACTTAAGAAAGACATGGATGAACCTGGAAACCATCATTCTCAGCAAACTGACACAAGAGCGGAAAATCAAACACCGCATATTCTCACTCACAGGCGGATGTTGAACAATGAGAACACATGGACACAGGGAGGGGAGCACTACACTCTGGGATCTGTTGCGGGGAAACGGGGGAGGGACAGTGGGGGGTGGGGAGTTGGGGAGAGATAGCATGCGGAGAAATGCCAGATATAGGTGAAGGGAGGAAGGCAGCAAATCACACTGCCATGTGTACCTATGCAACAATCTTGCATGTTCTTCACATGTACCCCAAAACCTAAAATGCAATTAAAAAAAAGAAAAATAAAAAAAAAAAAAAAAAAGAAAAGAAAGACCAAATCAAAGAGACATGAAAGAGTTGCAGTTTTTCATCAAGGAAGAGTGAAGATCAAAAGTTTCTGGGAAAAATCATTCAGTGAAAGGGGCAATGCTTGAAAAATGGGAGCTGAATTAAAGGAAAAAAATCCACATCCATGTCAACCTCAGGCCATCAGGAGAGGTGGGAGGCAAAAAATACAACCTCTTTGCTTAGATCCTTCCTAGTGCAACCAGAACAGACAATCTCTGTAGTCCGGTCTCAGAATTAGATTTAAGCGTGGGCCCCCTTCTTCTGTTTCTGGTTTCTCCATATTTCATGATGTATTTTTGGGAAAAAAATACTTTTAATGATGCCAACTTGCCTCCTTTGAGCACATTAAAAAAGGAAACGATTGGCTGAAGCTGTCATGATGATGGGAATAATTTTGTCGCTGTGCAATTTGGCTCTCGCTCTAACGTGAAGCACACATTTTCCTCCAATGTATTTTAAGCCGGAGACTTCTAAGTAAATGGGAGGTGGCTGATTTTATTTCTGTATGCAGCCAGCCTTCACTGGCATGAGCTCTGATTTGGCCCAATCAGTTTTGCATTCATGCTGAGAAGCGAGTTGATCAAGTTCAAGGAACATCTGTATGCATTTATCTGGATGGGGTGCAAACATCAGAGCCGCTCCTTTGAAAGGTTCCTCAGCCCTCCAGGGATGGCCACAAGATTCCTAGACAATGACCTTTGTAACTCCAGCAACCGCATTCCATCCTTGAACAACTGCAAGGCCTCTTGAACGTGCCGCCATCTTTGTCATTTATAGGGTTGTTTTAAAGAGTCTAGCTCTGGCAAGTTTGAGAGTTTATTAAGTCAATCTTCATTAGCTGGTTAAATGGCCTCCAAGAAGTTACCCAACTGAATGTCCAAGTGTCAGAATGTCAACTCATATATTAGCATGGCATTTCCACAGTTACATCTGTCTTGGTCTTCCCCTTCTTTTTATTTCCCCTTTCCTGGCTGTCATAAATTTCATGTGCCAGCAGCTCTATGACTCAAAAAAGGCTGTAAACATCCTTTTGTTCAATTACATCAACACTTTTTCCCTTTATGTCAGCAATTAAATTTATGAGGGAAAAAAGTTCACTCTCTAAACCTAAAGAGACACAGTCAAGCTCAAAGTAAATAAAAAAAAGAACATAATCAACAACTTACAGTTAAGTATAAATGAGGCAGTGATTTCAGAATCCCAAGATGTGGCCTCAAATCCCAATGCCAACATCTAGCTGTGGCCCAGGCTGGAGTGAAGTGGCGTGATCTCGGCTCACTGCAACCTCTGCCTCCTGGGTTCAAGTGATCCTCCTGCCTCAGCCTCCCGAGATGCTGGGATTACATGCATGCCTCACCATGCCCAGCTCATTTTTGTATTTTTAGTAGAGTTGGGTTTTCGCCATGTTGGCTAAGCTGGTCTTGAACTCCTGATCTCAGGTGATCTGCCCGCCTCGGCCTCCCAAAGTGCTGGGATTACAGGTGTGAGCCACTGCGCCCAGCCCTGAGCTCTCCTGACTCTGCAGGCTGTAGTTTTCGATTCTCCAATATGGAGTAAATGGTTGCAATTTCATAGAATGTTGGGAGAATTCACTGAGATGTAGTATGTGATGTGAGTACCCCCCAAATGGCCAGTCCCCTTTTCTTTTCCTTCTCCATGTGCATAGGGTGGACAAGCTGATTGAATACAGGACCTATGTTATATATACCTTTGTTTTCCTAAAACCTGGAACATAGTAGGTGCTTAGGAAATATTTAACAGAAGGATGAGAGAATAAGCCAATAAACGAGAGGCATTGGGTTGCATTTTCCCTCTTGGGTTCGATAACTTAGGTCTTAGGATGATGACAGTGATCTTGTGGATTGAGGCCAGACTATGCCAATGGCGCTCAATGGAATAGCAGCATGGGGAGATGGTTGGAAATGCAGGATCCCAGGCTCTTCCCCAGTCCTATTGAGTCAGGATCTGCCTTTTAACAAGATCACGGTGATTTGAGTGCACATTAAAGTTTGAACATTCCTGGATTAGAGTCCCTGACTGCGTGGCCAAGAGTATAAGTTGGTTTCCTGCATCGACCAATTTGATTGGCACTGCTGACTGCACACCAGCTTCACCTTGCATTTGGTCTTGTGGGAAGCCCAGTGTGTGAACATGGGTAAATCAGGGCCGACAAATTCCTTTTCGCTGTAGAAGGAAACAAC